AGTTCCTTCTTCAAGTTTTTTATCCAAGAGTTAGGGCACATATATGGGAATTTGATATATTCAAGAGACTTTAATGCAAATTTTTATTTTTTATTATTTTCAATAAGAGAACAAATTATTTACCATGGAATTTGTGTATTTTGACATGATAATTTTTTTATTAATTAAATTATTATTAATTTAATATAACATGATCAATTACTGTTAATAAAAAAAGCTCATATTTAATTATTAATATTAATATTTTCCGATGACCGAACATGTGGGGGGTGATACCAGCGACTTCTCAATTAAAATAGGACTACACAAGGGGTCAGCATTGAGCCCTTATTTTTTTGCCTTGGTGATGGATGAGGCCACAAGGGACATACAAGGTGATATCCCTTGGTGTATGCTCTTTGTTGATGATGTGGTGCTAGTTGACGAGAGTAGGGCAGGGGTAAATAGGAAGCTAGAGCCGTGGAAGGACACGTTAGAGTCGAAAGGCTTCAGACTTAGTAGGACGAAGATCGAGTACATGACGTGCGCTTTCAGCATGGCTACTCATGATGAAGGTGACGTTAGCCTCGACGGGCAAGTGATGGCCAAGAAGGAGACTTTTCGGTATTTGGGATCGATGCTGCAAAAGGATGGCGGCATTGATGAAGATGTTAGGCATAGAATTGCAGCCGAGTGGTTGAAATGACGTCAAGTTTCGGGCGTACTCTGTGATAAGAGGGTGCCTCAAAAGCTAAAAGGTAAGTTCTATAGGACGGCGATTCGCCCGGCGATGCTATACGGTGCTGAATATTGGCCTACAAAAAGGCAACATGTCCAACAACTAAGTGTAGCTGAGATGCGTATGATGCGTTGGATTTGCGGGCACACAAGAAGGGATAGAATCCGGAATGAGGATATTCGAGATAAGGTCGGGGTGGCGCCAATTGAGGAGAAGTTGGTTCAACATCGGCTGAGGTGGTTCGGACATGTCCAACGGAGGCCTCCTGATGCACCGGTGCGTATGGGGTTCTACAGCGGATCGATGATGTTAAGAGAGGTAGAGGTCGACCTAAACTCACTTGGAAAGAGTCGGTTCAGAGAGACCTTAAAAATTGGAATATCTCCAAGGATTTAGCGGTGGATATGAGCGCTTGGAGGCTAG